GTCCGCGGTCGCCATCCCCCTGCCCGGCTCTTCCTTACGCCTCCTGCCCCCTCGCACCCCGCCGTTCCCCAGCGGCCCCCGTTGCTGCCCCTTCGCTCCTCCGGCGCTCGCCTGACCGAGAGAGGCCCTTCGTGGTGCCGCTACTGGTTCTCCTCGGCCGCCGGGTCGCGGCACGTGCATTCGTCCTGGTCACAGTCAGCAGCAAACGGGATCACCTGGGGGGACCGAAGGGACATGTAAGCTTCTGCTTTGAGATCCCTGGCTCCTGGCACCCCTATGCCCCTGCAAGCCCTCTCCACCCCAGTACAGACAGACACTTCGGGCTGCATCCCATCCTGATGACGTTGGCATTGTGGAGACGGCCAGGCTCCACGCTCACTGAGAAACGGGCTCTGATACAAGCTGTCCCCGGCTGAGTTTTATTCCTAGCGTTTTCCTTCTCGTTAACTTGTCTGTCAGGTTTTGCAACCAAGGGTCAGCCTGAGTCTTGTGCCCCAAATATCAAACCCAGGGGAGAAGTCTCCCCTGGTGGGTGTGAGACATTTGGGCTAGGGCTTGCAGTGGCGAGGCACCTCTAGATTTCAGTTTTACTTTGGCCCCTGTTAGAAAGCCCCCCCCCTTGTCCATGTCTGAACCCACAGACCTGTCCTCCAAGCTACTCCTGGCTCTTCCAGGCTCAGCAAAGCGTGAAGGTAGCATAGCCTTATCTTCTGCACCTCTTGGAGGAACTCAGCCAAGCTCCCAGCTGCAAAGACTGGCCTCCACACTACCTGATATAGGAGCCAGGGTAGATGCATACAGTTCTCGTGCATTATGGATTAAGAAAACCCAGGCAGGCTGGAGGCTGTGCGAACAGGAACAGCCTTCAGTGGGGCAGGCAGCGCTGCTTTGAGACATCCCGTGCGGGTAGAGAGACTCCTTGCACGTTGCTTTCTCTACAACAACTGTATGTGGCCGAGCAAACTTATGTCACCTTAGCTGGTGGCAGCAGAGCAAGGTGGGAGGGCACCAGCAGAGCATCTGGCTCCTGGTTGACAGTTGCCCAGTCATGGGCCATGGGAGCTGAGAAAAAAGTTTCCTCCAGAGGTTTTATAACCACCAGGCTCAGAGCCAGGAGTTTTTCTTACTGTGGAAGTACGTTAGATTTTTCACAGCCTGGGCCGGTGAGAGGCTGGAGTGGCTTTTTGGTGTTTAAACCCCGTATTCCTGCATCTGCCTTAACAGAGAAGTGCTGGAGGCTTGTGCTGCAGGAGATCTGGGACCTGTGGGGGATGCAAGCTGGGGCTGGGTCTCCCGAGAGCCATGGGACTGAATCCCCCCACCTTCCACTGCGAACTCGTCCATTATTTTGGCCAGAGATCCAGATGTCTCAGACCTCCTGAGAGAGCCATGCCTCGCTCCGAGATGTCATGATATCGCTGTGGAGGTTTCACTCATCACTTGGGTGTAAAGCCTTTTCTCTCCTATCTCAACTGGATCTTCCCAGGATTTTATTTTTCCTTTTCTCTGTGTGTGTATGCGTGATGAAAGGAAAAATGATTCAAGCTCCACAACAAAGATGAGAAGATCCAAATTCGCATATTTTTGCAGTGAGAAATTATCTCATGCCCTATGATTTGTTTTGCTGTTGGATATGCTTAGGAAGGATGGGCTGTGAGTGCTGGATAGCAAGTTAGGTGGGAGGGGAGATTGTGATGGGAGACAAAGAAGGGTCTGTGCAACCCCAACGCCAAGTTGCTCCCTATGTGCTATTCCGCCCTCCTTCCCTCCCCAGGAGAATTGGGAGGGAAAGACAGCCCACAGTGGACACCAATGGACTGTACCAAAAATCCCCTGAGATTGTTCAGTTATACGACAAGGTGACTTCTGGCTAGCACTACGTCCTATGGAAGTCGTTTCTTTGGGACTCGTTTCCCAAAACGAGAGGGAATCCCGTGAACCTCAGTGGGAGCTGGGCTGAGCTTTCCATCCCGCTGGCCCGAGTCCAAACCCCGCTGTTAACCAGTGGGATGATGTCTATCAGCTTCAGCTGGCTTCGGTTTAAAAACATGGGTTTGTTCTCCGTTCGTGGGAGAATTGCATTGCAGGCTCGGTTCCACGGCCAGCAAAGCCAAAGAACATGGCTAGCAGTCACCACTTAATCCTAAATCCTGGCCAGCTCCGCAGAAGATGCTCACTTACCTTCCTGGAGGACAGTGTGGAGGAGCAGCAGTCACCCCCGTCATACTGGCAGTACGCCCGGTTGTTGATGGTGTCGCACCAGCCGTCTGCTTGGAAGGGCTAGGCAGAGAAACGAGTCATTGCTGAAAGGGTTATTCAAAAGCATACGGTTGCCTCCAAAAGCAGAGATCCCAGGTGCTCAGCAAGGCACCTCTGGTAAGGGCCAAGGCCCAGTTCCACCATACACACCCCCCTCTTCAAAGCCAAAGGGCAGCAGAAGGCTGGCATCCCGGCTGGTGTGTATGGAGTAGTGGGTGCTCGGAGGGCAGCGGCTGTGGCTTGAGGATCAGGGAATTGTGTCAGGAAGCGAGAAAGCAAATCCACATCGCTAGAGAGGGCCCCAACCTGAATGCCACAAGTCCCCATTCCCATCTCGCTCAGTGCTTCTCCACGTAGTCCATTGCCACCCAACTAGGAGTGAGTTCACCACCTCATCTGCTCGTCCACCTTCTCACACCACTCTCATGTGTCTCCACTGTGATCCAGCTCTCTGCATGTTCACAACTGGGGCAGGGCTCTGTAAGAAGCTGACCCAACTCTTCTCTCTAACACCCCTCCTCCCAAAGAGCGTGGCTCTGAAGTTGAGCTTGGTGACCTAGCTTGGGCAGCTAAGTACAGAGAGGCTGTCACAAGGATCGATAGAGCATCCTGCTAGAGGATCAATCTCAGGAAGGCAGGTGCTTTATCTCCCTTGGACTGCGAAAAAGGTTCAGCAAGGTCAGGAGTCTCTCAGAAGTACTTGCACTCAAGCCAAGCAAGCACTGGCAAGAGCTGGTTGCAAGGACTATGCCTTTTCCAGAATGCTCTTGCTCTGGCTCTGACCCCAAGGAACATGTCCCCAAATTCCTCTAGACTCTCCACTGGAAGCTCTAGCCCTGTCCACAGCACATGGCACCACCAAACCTTGCCAGGTTGGACTACAAGGCTACTTATCTGGTGGCCAGCTGGGACAAACAGAAGGGATCTTCATTAAGCACTACCTCCCTGCAGGCAAAATCCAACTCTGGATTGAGCGGAGAGGGCACCGGCCTACTGATATTGGCAACGTGGCCACCTTCCAGCTTCAGTCTTGGCCATCTTCCTCCTTATTTCTCCGTGGCCTAAATCTCACCCTCTGTAAGGAAATCATATGGTTGAGGGTGGGGGATTTTGCATCGCCAAAATAATGGTGGCTCCTCTTTGCATGGCACAGCCCGGTGTCCTTTGCTGCACCGACAGGTCTTCCTGGACAACTGGGGATTTGCAGAGCCCAGATTGCCTTGGTGCAGCTCAGATAAATGCTCCGTCATTTCAGCTCTGACGTGGAAACAGAAAGCTATGGCAGCAGAATAGCTTTCTATCCAGAAATGTTAAATGGCACAAGCGGCCATTCAGAAATCCATTTTATTGTTGTTTAGTTACATGAGTCATCTGATCAGAGAAGAGAAACAAGCAACTGGGGCTGAGAAGCAGCCAACTGGGGCTGAGAAACAATGCTGTGCGACTGGTGCAACCAAACGACGTACATGTGAAGAACAACTTGCAATGAACTGTCAGGAACGATCTGCAGACGAGGTTTATCACAGATACACTTCAGCACTGTCAAGCAGCAACTGAATGTGCTAACAGAACGGAGAGGCCATTCATTAACCGAGCGATTAGTAATGAAATGCTTCTCCCGCTCCAGGCTCTGTGATGGTAGCTACTGGCCCAAGCAACCATGGCCAACCTCCAGGAGGACTGCTGTCATCAGAAAGGGCTCTTGGTGGAAACTTGGCCACCCCCTCGCTCATGGAAGCAGCCGACCCGTTTCACTGGATCTGGTGGCCCCAAACGACAAAGGGGCTTCAGAAAATAGGTGGACCCAGCCTTTGATAGACACTCGCCCATAGCACCCCTAAACCAAATGAAAGCCAGCTGAAAAATGTCACCGCACCGCGATAGCCCTGCATCCACTGCGCCGAAGACAACGTGCGGGACTGGTGATAATGCCAATAATTCACACGAAAAAGCCCTGCCAAAACCAGGGAACCGATGTGGCTTGTTGTCATCATGACTCACAAGGAGCAGAAACGGGCTCAAGGCAGGCTAATGTCACTTTAGGAAGTAGCAGCAGGGATTATGGCAAACCACCGAGTCTGTCTGTGCTATCAGTACCGCAGTCCCCAGGCCGAATCCAAGGAGCCACAGAGAGATTGCATTTGCCTGGAAGATCTCGCAAGAGAAGAAGAAAAAGCGCACCTTCCTACAGCTGGGAAATTGAGGCACAGCCGGGTTAGGTAGCTCATTCAAAAACAAGAAGGGATTTGATTCTTATCATTGCTGTCACAAACCACGTCCAGAGGAGACCAGGGTGCAATTTCAGCAAGGCAATAGGGTTAACACTCCTTTTCCACTGAAAAACATGAGTGGGTCTTAATGGTGATCAGAGAAGGTCTCTGAGCCACGAAGCAGCTTTGAGCACCGGGAGGGCCAGGGCAGGGATGCTGGGGCTGGCCGGTGCAGGGATGCCGGCAGGGGACCGGCCAGGGCCGCTGGCAGGGAAGGAGCTCTTCTGGGTGTGATTTGCTTTTGCAGCCTTCCACGCGGTGGAGTTTTTCCTTGAGCTTTGCTCCATATGTCATGACTCACTGGCAAAACAAGGCTTCGGTAGTTTCCATGCAATTATGGGGGGGTTTGCCCATCCCGGCTGCACAGGTCTGAAATGGTTTCCAGATCTTCTGTGCAAGGTGGGGGGAGGACAGAGGCAGGGACAGGACAAGGAAGGAGAGGCTCTCAGTTTCTCCCTACACCTATTAGGGCTAATTGCCCCCTCCTCTCAAGCCGCCAGAGCCCATACCCCACCCTAAACAAATACAGGCTCCTATGGCAACACTTGTTGGGGAAACTTAACAACTCATGCTCCAAATTACATTGGAAAAACATATGAGGGGAAAATAAAAAATGACTAATTGGACTCGAGGCTCAAGAGAGCCAGGCGCAGGGTTCGGGGACTGCTGTCCCTGCTTCTCGCCCAGCACCTGGAGAACACAGTGAATCCCGTTGCTTTGCCTTGTCACGGATTTCCAGCTGGTTTCATCTTTGCAAGCAGAAAGAGCAAAGTAAGGTGCTGGCAGGTCACCCCTGAGGGCACAGGTGCCCTCCTACTTGCATCGGTCTCATTTTGGTCTTGCAAGGGTGACGGCAAGGGAGGACACGGGCAACGCAATGTACTAAGAGCAGGTGATGCGAGAGAGGAAAACCCGTACAGACTCTGTTCAGCCTGCGCTAGAGCCATGTGGCTCTACAGAAAGCAATGCCAGCGGTGGGAGAAGGGAGGTTTGCCCACGTTGATGACTTGCAGAAAAGATGTTTTAAGATGCTGGCAGGAAAAAAACCCCACACTAATAGCCAACCGTGCCACACAAAGGCAATGGCTGTGATCTAGGGAAATGGCCACCTGGGTTTCGCCAGAATATGCATCCTCCAGCACGAGGGGAAAAAGGGCTGGTTCACATGGCTCAGATAAACTGGGAAAAAATGAATAAAGTAATTGCTGCAATCGCTCCGTGCCGTGTTAAGTGATAGGGAGCTGCTCGGCTAGGCAGCATGCCACCGAGGCAGCTAGGGAGCTGGGCTGTGTCAGCGAATCTCTCCCCGCTCGCGCCATCCGTCTTCCTTGTTTATTCAGACAGGAGCTTCAGCGGGGCATGTGTTAGCACGTGGAGGTGCAGCATCTGGCACCCCCGGGCCAGAGCCCTGCGCTGCCGGCACAAAAATAGTAACTGCGAATCAAGTGCTTGGCAATTTAAATAGGCTAAAAAAACCCCACACGCTCTCAAAGCTGGGAATAGGCACGAATGAAAAGAGAAAAAATTAACTTTAAAAAAAAAAAAAAAAAAGAGGGAAAAATATTGCAGGCAAAGGAGGGATGTGAGAAAGGACTGGTTAGATGCTGCTGCATCCCGGGCAGAAGCATCTCAGAGGGCTCGGCGGTGCTGTTTCTCTCGAGGCTGCCGGGAGATGCCATGCAGGGAGCAGTATCTGCACGTGGCATTTTTCCACCATCCCTGCAGAGCCCCCGGGGCCGGGGCCGAGCTGGCTGGCTCCCTCCTCGGAGCTGGCGTCCTGCCCGGCGGGGAGCCCCCAGTGCCATCGGGCCCAGACACTTTCCTTCAAATCCACCTTAGAGGTAGGTGGATTCACGGTGAAAGAGCGTGAAAGGGTGCGACAGGGTGAGGGAAAGCCGACGCATGAAGAATAAATCACAGATGCCATCAGTATTGTACATATTTTGCTGCTGCGTCATGGGCACTTGATGAACATTAGTTCCCAGGAATGCAGGTTTTGCTCTGGTCAAGCAGACCTGAAGGCCCAGTACCTTGCTTTTAGCAATGACCCGTTCCAGATGCTTCAGAAGAAGGTGGAAAAAAGAAAAAAAAAATTCAGCGTGCACCTGGCCAATTGTGTAACTGAAGAGCTGAAAGGTTCTTCTGCACTGCTGCTGGGATGGAAAGTGCTTGCGATTTCAATCTGCCCATAGCTAGAGAAAGCCCAGATCCCAGTTTCAGGGGATCAAGTCCAGCCTTAATAAGCAAAATGTTTCCCCCCAGCCTTTGGGAGGCTATGCAGGTCCCGGGCTTTGCAACTGTGCTGATCCCATCCAAGGAGGGTGCATCGTTTGCTTTCATGCTGCTTCTCAGTCAGCATGGATTTTGCCGTCCTTTCATCCTTCTCTTTGGGCATCGGTATTTTGGGCATTGACTTTGGACCCTTTGCATGCCGAGTCGACCATGTGCAAACCTGCAGCTGAGGAAGTGCAGCTATCTTCGTCCTTCTCAGCTGTTGCTCTCAAAGCAGCCCCAGAGGAACAGGGGAACCATCGTTTCAGTAGGGGAGACAGGCAGGGACCAGCCCTGGAAAAGTTGCTGTGCTGTCAGACCCATGCCTCGTGCATCAGCTTCACCGCTGTTAGCTCTGCTCTTGCGATGGATGAGTCATTAGTGATGGAAAGAGCAGTTGGAGGAGACAGGAGGGAGACGGTGTGGCAGGGAGACGGGGACAAGACTGGGTGATAAACCTCTGCTGGAGAAACGTCTCCC